AGCTGCCTCCATAGAAATGGGCCACCTGGACCTGGCCAGGAAAGGAGCCAGAGCTACAAGGGGAACAAAACACAGTGCAGGACCAACACCCAGTGTGATGCTAACTAGAGGCAGCTGATGCATAAGCATCCTCTCTTCCATTGGAGGGACTTTGAGCCACTTCCAGGGATAGCTAAGGAAGGTGCTCTGAACAGTAAGTGAGCCTGAAGCTCCCACAGATCCTGGAGACTAAGAGCTTACACTACCTTGGATGTGATTCTGGGAAAAAGCAAAAAAATAAATTTTGTGTCTAGAATGCTGAAGGTCAGTTTTTACCTGCTACACACAGCAATGTCTGGCAGATAAAAAATGTTCACTAACTGTTAGTTCTTCTTTACTCTTCACTGGCTCAATAAATATTTACTGAACTCTTACAACGTGGCAGGGCACTGTCATGAGGATACAGCTATGCCGAAAATCTAAAATCTCTGTCGTTGTGGAGTTTATATTCTAGTGTATGTGTGTGACAGGGGACAGATGACACAGTGAGTAAACAGAAAATATTGAACAACAAGTATGAGAGGTGATGGTTGTATTAATTAAACTTAACTGTGTAATGTACATGTTGTATACCTTAAACATGTGGAATTTTATCTGTCAGTCATACCACAGTAAAACTGGAAAAAAATAAAAAAAAATTTTTTTTAAAATGCATTGAATGTTAGAAAGTCATAAATGCCAAGGAGGAAAACCAAGGAGAGAAGGGAGAGTGGGAAGTGTCAAATAGGAGAAGGTTCTAGTTGGGGGTTGGGCTGTGGCTCAAGGCACACTGAGCAGGGCCTTATGTGTGAATGGTGAGGCGGTGAACCGTGTGGAAGGAATATCCTGGCAGCAAAGTCTCGAAGCAGCACTGGCTGGAGCCAGCTCACGGGGGCATACCAGGGACCATTAATAATTCTTGTTAAATCTTTGGTTGCTTGAAATTGGCTGTGCCACCATGGCAATATTTAACCGCAGATATTGGCAAACACTGCAAGATAGGATCTTTTTTGCTGTTGTTCCCAGAGATTCAGGTTACCAGCAGCAGGGAGAGCAAAAGTCAGGCAGACCAGTGCAATGTGGTGGGAGCAGAGCTTAGCAAGTGGGTAGGAGTGGAAAGCCAGGAAATCACGTGGGGCCTTGCAGACTGCTCTTGGAACACTGGCTTGGACTGTGAACCAGATAGGGGAGCCTTAGGAGGCTTACAAACAAAACAAAACAAAAAGCTTTATTTAGGTTTAATTTTACATACCATAACTCATTCAAGTATGCCATTATTACTACAATTATCAGTAGTAGTAGTAGTAATAATACACTTAGAGATTTATGCAGCCATGATGATCACTGTCCAAATTTAAAACATTTCTGTCACCTCGAAGAGACCCCTTGTGTCTATTTGCAGTCATTCCTGTTCACATACCCAGCTTCAGGCAACTACGAATCTACTTTCTGTCCCTATGCATTGGAGGGTTTGGAGGAAAAAAGAACACAGCTTATATTATTGCTACTATTATATCCTTTCTGGTAGAACGTAAGGAAGTTCCTGTTCTCTTTCCGCTGAGGTGGCGGTGACCTGAATTTTCAAGGAAGATACCCACCAGAGCCACTGGAAGCTATGAGAATAGCTTAGCAGGGCCACTCTCATTGGCTCCAAGAGTGCTGGCCAGTTGAAGCCGCCGTGTCCTCTGCTGGCTTTGGGCTCTGCTCTCTCTTAGCTGCATTTGGGGCCAAAGTTCCCAGTGGGAGACCAAGTCAGCAAATTGCCTTCTCCAGTGTCCTGGAGGAACCTGAATGTTTAAGGCCCGCATTCAGCTGAAACAGCATTGAAGGCCTTTTGCATTTCTTGGGTTCAAAAGCAAGGTAGTGTAGAGAGAAATCTTTTTAAGGACAGGTGTCAGCTGCCTCTGAGGCCTTTGCTGCTTAAAGCAAGAAGGGGCATGCCTGAAATGGCCTTGGCTTAGCAGGGAGGCTGATTCTAATGATCAGCTGTCAGGGGGCAGAGGAATCCATGGGAGGGAGGCATAGGAAAAGGCTTGGGGGAGAGTTGAAGGGAGGGGAGGATGGAAAAGGGTCAGGGACGGGGAGTCTGAGGACTCAGGGCTCACAGCCAAACAGAAGGCCGGACCTGGGCATTTCTGGGAGGTGAGACCTGTGGTCACTTGTCCTCTTGAAACCTGCCTTTCTGGTTCCATACGTGTTTTGGGATTATTTGTTCCAGCACTTTGAAAAATGCTGATGGTATTTTGGTCAGGATGGTGTTGAAAGTATAGGAGGGGGAAACAAACTGTGAGAGACTGTGGACTCCGAGAAACAGAGGGTTTTAGAGGGGAGGGGGGTGAGGAGATGGGTTAGCTGGGTGATGGATTTTAAGGAAGGCACATATTGCATGGAGCACTGGGTGTTATATGTAAACAATGAATTTTAGAACACTACATCAAAAACTAATGACATACTGTATGGTGACTAACATAACAAAAAAAAATAATTAAAACCCCTATGTTTGTATTTGCATAGGAAAAAACCCCGACTTTATCTGTAAAACAGAGAAAATAGCATTTATATCATAGAGTTGTTGTGAAGATTTAAGGAAATAACATCTATAAAGTACCTTCCAAATGCCTGGCACACAGTGAGCCTTCTGTAGATGGCAGTTATTGTTTTTCTTGTTACTGCCACACGTTATCATTGTTGGTGTTGGGGTCTGTTATCAACGGAACGAGAATGAGACAAAGTGAAAGTTATGCAAAGCCTTATTCTATGCCAAGCATTAGAAGTCAGACCGACCGGCCAGGGCTGCCTCTGAAGAGAGCGACCCCCTCCCGATCTCACAAGTTGGTTTTATAGGGCATAACCACAGACCCAAGGTACGTGGCTTCTATTGTTAAGGCATTTACTCCTGGAATCGATGCCCGGAACCATACCAGGAACTACAGGGGCGTTTATTCCCGGAATGAAGTCCGTGGATGTAAACAACAATATGACTACCTGGGCAATATGGAGTTGCTCTGGCTAAGCAGGCCCTAATAGTTAAACAGGTTTTAACATTAAATTGGCCCTAACATTGGTTACGTCTTACTCTGTTTGGGCAGTTGTTTAAATAACATTTATTTCTCATAGTTCTAGGGACCAGGAAGTCCAAGATCGAATTGTAGCAGGCAGATTCGTGTCTGCTGAGAGCCCGCTTCTGGTTCATAGACTCCTGTCTTTTTGCTTTGTCCTCCCCATTCAGAAGGAGCCAGCGCGCTCTCTGAGGTCTCAGAACCTAATCACCTCCCAGAGGCCTCCACCTCCTGTAACGATCACACTGGGGGGCTAGGATTTAATAAAAGAATGTGGGAGAAGCTCAAACTTTTAATCTCTGGCAGTTACAGGACCATATTCTGTTATTATTATGACCGAGAGGAATTTGGTGGAAAGAACCTGCATCTGCTTCTCAGTGCTCTTTAAACAAAGTGCACACAACTCTCTTGGGCTCCTGTTGAAGTGCAGAGTCTAACTCCACCTGTCTAGGGTGGGGTCTGAGGTTCTGCAGGTGTCCCAGGCTCCCAGATGATGCTGATGCTGCTGTTCTGTAGATCAGACTTTGAATAGCAAGACACTGAGACTGCCCTGTCCCATATGGTAGCCAGTAGCCACCTGCGGCTGCTGAGCCCTTGGAATGTGGCTAGTCCAAACTGAGGTGTGCTTGTAAGTGTAAAATGTTGGATTACGAGGACTTAGTACCAAAAAAAAAAAAAAAAAAAGTAAAATATCTACTACTACTAAAGAAGTAATTTCTTTTTACACTGGTTACATGTTGAAATTATAGGATATAGCCGGTGTTGAGCAAGAAAAGAGGCAAAGCTAAAATAAAAAGAAAATGTTTATTTGGAGGTCTCAGAATTGCAATTCAGAGAACACAGATTTGGGCAGCAACCCAAATGTGCCACCACCCCCTACTCCCCATCTCCCCATACTCCAGGGAACAAAAGGCAAGGGTTTTGTTCTGGTTTTGTTGTTGTTGTTGTTTGTTTTGTTTTTTTCTTTTTTTAAGAGAGAGGGGAGGTGGGCAGAAGGAGAAAGAGAATCTTATAAACAGCCTTTACACCCAGCATGGAGCCACTGTGGGGATAAGGTGGGGCTTGATCTCATGACCCTGAGATCATGACTCTGAAATATGACCTGAGCTGAAATCAAGAGTCAGATGATTAACCGATTGAGCCACCCAGGTGCCCCAAACGGCAAGGGTTTTTTAAAGACAAAAGGGAATATTTGTATATATTGCTTACAAAGAATTTTGATTGATGTTGGTGGCAGAAAACGAATCTTGACTGAGTATAGTTGATTGCTAAGGCTATCACTAAACAGTCTCCTGCTGTGTAGCAAGTTGCCGGTGTTCAGGCTGAGTCCTTGGAGTATTTGTGGTTTGGTGCAGTTCAAAAGTTCATGGTTCTACCAGTGAGGACATGAATAAGGCCCACTTCCTTCATGGCCTCCAGGCTCATCCCTTAACATATATGACTCCATTTTTTTTTTAATCTTTCATACTGGCTAAATAAAATACTATTTTAATTCATTTCACCTGTTCCTTTCCTTTCCTTTTTTTTTTTTGAATGAAGCTTCTGGAAAATTGTACATAACATGTGTGGCTCACATTATATTTCCATAAAGCCCTAGAACATTGTTGGCTTTGTCAGGCCAGTTCAGGATTTATCTTGGGAAAGTGGGCTTGGGAAGCCTTGAGAAGTGGGCTCTGAGTTAACTGACCTCAGACCCACAGAGATCCTCAGGCCGTGAGAGGTGGAAGGGATGGATCTCAGGCTCAGAGAGAAGAAATGACCTAAATCACACTATGGAATTAAGACTAAAGCCCAAGACTGTGTTTACAAGTCAGTGTGTACTGTAGCCACCATTGGGGCTGACTGCAGATTTCTCCTCTAGCTCAGTCTCCCCACAGATCCCAGAATTCAAGGTTGCGTTATCTCTCTTCTCTTTTGAAACAGGCTGCAGGCAATAACAGGATGCTATGGCTAAGAGGATGGGTCCTCCAGGTGCTGAGAAATGCCCGGGGATTCTGTGGGCCTCATGGGCAGCAGCCACCTCTACCTGACCCTCAGAAGATTGTGGCCACCTGGGAGGCCATCAGCCTGGGGAGGCAGCCAGTGCCTGAGTACTTCAACTTTGCCCATGATGTGCTGGACATGTGGAGTCATCTGGAAAAGGTGAAGCCCACTGTGTCCTAGTGTCCCTCTTGGGCCTCAGAGGCTGCCCTCAGTTACCCCAGTGTGACTCAAGGCTACAACAGGTGGACATTTTGACCCGGGAATTTTGCAAGTCCTAAAACTTAAACTGTTAGCATTTAATCCTTAGGGGGGAAAAAAGAATTATGACCAAGTTTCATGAGCCTTAGGTACTTAGCCCAGGGTGTCTCATATTCCTGAACACACATCACATAGTTGAGACAGTTATGCCCTCTTTGATTCCGTTCCCATCATTCTGATCAAGTGAAAGAGAAAATTTTGTTTTGATTCTACTCTGTCATTAATATTTCTCTCACTGTTGTGTACTGAGAGAGCACAGAGGTGAGGGCCAGAAGGAGAGAGAGAATCTGAAGTAGGATCCACACCCAGTGCAGAGTCCACATGGTGTTCAGTCTCACGACCCTGAGATCATGACCTGAGCCAAAATCAAGAGTCGGACGCCTAACTGACTAAGCCATCTAGACATCCCTGTATTTCCCTTTTAAATAAGGAAAGAGTGTGACTGAGGCTCAGAGCTTTTCACAGATCACAGCAGATAGGTAGAATTGAATTAAGATTATCTTGATTTCTTTGTGTGTCTCTGAGCATATACTTCCTTCTTTTTTTTTTTTCTCTTCCTTAGGTGTCTGTTGTGTCTCTCTGTCTATTTTATATTCATTTTTTTTAAATGTTAAGGATGCTAACCTTTTATAGTAAGAGACTATAATATCTCCATGCAATTTACTTATATTAATTTTAAGAAGAGCTTGCGTAAAGAAAAACAGTGAGGAAAATAATACTGTTAGCAGATTCAGTGAAAGTATACTGTTAGTGGATATAGTAAAGTATGAAGGTGGCTTTGCAGTTAGATAGATATGGTCTTTGGATACATGCCCTAAGCCCTTTGGATTTGTTTTCTCACCTCTAAAATGGAAGTCATACCATCTGCCTCCTGGAATTGTTGTGGGAATAAAATGAGAAGCATATGTAGGAGATGGAACTAGGGTGCCCTGTTCCTGTCTACAAAATCTGAGCTCTTTATCCACACTGGGATCATCCTTGCAGGATTTCTTCTAAAGATATATACAAATAGGGTTATATCAGCAAAAATGATGGAATAAGGACAATCTAAAATTTTGTCCTCTGTAAAAACAACAACAATAAAAAATCTTGGAAAAATTGCCAGAATGAACCTCTTAGAACTCTGGAAACTAACCAAAGGCTGGAATAGCTCAGGAATGTTTATTAAAGAAGCACTCGTTAAAGATTTGGGTGCATCTCAGAATGCCCTGAGATAGTACCTCATTATACAAATGAGGTAATACTAATAACATACCCCTTGATGATAGTTTTGGGAAGAGTCTAAAACATATCTGAAGAAGTTCAACTTTCGGGAAACAGGAACCACCAGAAATTATTTAGCCTCTCCATCATGTATGCATTTAGCAGCTTACTGAAGTCTGCCTTTGACAGAGTTGAATTGTATGTTTTTTAGACTTGATTCCATTGAAGCAGAAATTATAAAGCTGCGAAAAAAAAACCCCAAAACATATCCCAAATTGTCTAGATACTCAAAGTAACCTTTATTAAAATCTCAGTAGACTTTTTTGCAGAAATAGATGATCTTGTCCAAAGCTTCATGTGGAAAGGCAAGGGGCACATAATAACCACAACAGTTGTGATAAACACAATAGGACTCACACTTCCCTATTTCAAAAATCTACTGCTAAGTGACAGTAATAAAGACTGTGTGAGAAAAAAAAAAAAAGGTGTGGCACTGGTAAAAAGACAAGTATAGATGAATGGGATAGAATTGAGAGTCTAGAAATAAATCTATGGTCGGTTGATTTTCAACAAAAGTGCCAGTAAATTCAGGGAGGAAAGAAGCATCCTTCCAACTAGTGGTGCTGGCACATATTATATGATTCTGTTCATATGAAATATCCAGAATAGGCAAATCCATAGAGACAAAAAGTAGATTAGTGGTTGCCAAGGGCTGCGGGGGGTGGGGTGGTGGTGGAATAGGGAGCTCCTGCTAATCTGTATGGTATTTCTTTTTCGGATAATGAGAATGTTTTGGAATTAGGTTATAGCAATGATTATACCACTTTGTGAATATATTAAAAACCATTGACTTCACCTTAAGGGAAAAGCTCTCATCTTTTCCCCATTACGAATGATATTTGCTGTGGGGTTTTCATAGATGGCTTTTATGATACTAAGGTATGTTCCTTCTATCCCTACACTCTGAAGAGTTTTAATCAGGAAAGGATGCTGTATTTTTTCAGATGCTTTTTCTGCATCATTTGAGAGGATCATATGGTTCTTGTCTTTTCTTTTATTAATGTGATCTATCACACTGATTGATTTACAATATTGAACAACCCTTGCATCCCAGGGATAAATCCCACCTGGTCGTGATGGATAATCCTTTTAATGTACTGTTGGATTCTATTGGCCAGAATCTTGTTGCGTATTTGGCATCCATGTTCCTCTGGGATATTGGTCTGTAATTCTCCTTTTTGATGAGATCTTTGCCTGGTTTTGGGATCAGGGTAATGCTGGCCTCATAGAATGAGTTCTGTTCTGTTTTGTTTGTTTGTTTGTTTGTTTGTTTTTTGAAACAGCTTCAGTAGAATAGGTGTGATTTCTTCTTTAAATATTTGGTAGAATTCCCCTGGGAAGCCATCTGGCCCTGGAGTCTTGGTTTTAGGGAGATTTTTGATTACTGCTTCAATTTTGTTACTGGTTATTGGTTTATTCAGATTGTTTATTTCTTGCTGTTTCCATCTTGGTAGTTTATAAGTTTCCAGGAAGGCATCCATTTCTTTGCTTTACTTAATTTGTTGACATATAGATGCTGATAATAATTTCTAATAGTTTTATTTCCTTGGTGTTAAATTTGATCTTTCCCCTTTCATTCATGATTTTATTAATTTGGATCCTTTCCCTTTTCTTTTGGATAAGTCTGGCTAGAGGTTTATCAATCTTACTAAATCTTTCAAAGAACCAGCTTCTAGTTTTGTTGATTTGTTCTACTGTTTTTCTTGGTTTCTATTTCATTGATTTCTGCTCTAATCTTCACTGTTTCTCTCTCCTGCTTGGTTTAAGCTTTATTTGCTGTTCTTTCTCCAGCTTCTTTAGACGTAAGGTTAGCTTGAGAATTTGGGATTTTTCTACTTTTTTGAGAGAGACTTGGATGGCTGTGTATTTCCCCCTTAGGACCGCCTTTGCAGTCCATGTGTTTTCCTTCTCATTAGTTTTGGACCCATGTGTTTTCCTTCTCATTAGTTTCCATGAATTGTTTAAGGTCCTCTTTAATTTCCTGGTTGACCCAGTCATTCTTTAGCAGGATGTTCTTTAACTTCCAAGTGTTTGAATTCCTTCCAATTTTTTTTTTCTTGTGATTGAGTTCCACTGTCAAAGCATTGTAGTCTGATAACATGCAGGGAATAATCTCAATCTTTTGGTATCAGTTGAGACCTGGTTTGTGATCTAGTATGTGGTCTATTCTGGAAAAAATTCCATGTGCACTAGAGAATGAGTATTCTGTTGTTTTAAGATGGAATGTTCTCTACATATCTATGAAGTCCATCTGGTCCAATGTGTCATTCAAAACTCTTGTTTCTTGGTTGATCTTCTGCTTAGATGATCTATTGCTGAGAGTAGAGTGTTGAGGTCTCCTACTATTAATGTATTATTATCAATGTGTTTCTTTATTTTGGTTATTTATTGGTTTATATAATTGCCTGCTCCCATGTTGGGTGCATAGATATTTACAATAGTTAGATCTTCTTGTATCGTTGAACAACACTACATCAAAAACTAATGATATGTTTGCTAACTGAACATAATTTAAAAAATAAAGTGAAAAAGACCCATCGTAAGTTGAAAATATCATAATTGGAAAATGCATTTAATACACCTAACCTACTGAGTAGCTTTGCCTAGCTTCAACATGCTCAGAACACTCATGTTAGTTAGATGGCAAAACTATCAGGTAACACAAAGCCTACTTTATAATATCTTTAAACATCCCACTGAATTTTGTACTTCAGAATAGTGAATTTTGTGGCATGAGAATTATAGCTCAAAAAAAGGGGAGGACACAGAACAGTATGAATCATATGCTACCTTTTGCATTAAAAAGGTGTTACGGAAAACAGAATATACTTATTTGCCTAAAGAAATACTGAATGGATATACAAGAAACTAATAATATTGGTCACATGTTGAGGCAGGTAACATGGGGAACAGGGTAGATGGGCACAAGGATGGGAGTAAGTCTTCTCAATGCATCTTTTCATTGTTTTGAATTTGAACCCTGTGACTAATAATTACAAAAAAAAATTTAAAAAACAACAAGCAAAAAAAAAATAAAAAAAATAAAAAACAACAAACAAACAAAAATTCTCAACAAATGTTTTCTATTTCTTTTCTGCCTACACTGCTGTCTAGGCTGGGCACAGGCCCCAGATCCCTGCATTCTGGTGGGTCAATGGCAAGGGAGCAGAGGTCAAGTGGAACTTTGAGGAGCTAGGGGAGCAGTCCAGGAAGGCGGCTAATGTGCTCCAGGGTATGTGCGGCCTTCAGCCTGGGGACAGGATGATGCTGGTGCTCCCGCGGCTCCCAGAGTGGTGGCTGGTCAGCGTGGCATGCATACGGACAGGTCAGTGAGCAGAGCTGAGGCTACCAGTTGGGACGGATACCACCTGCCAGAGCTTTGCAGAGTCACATGGTTTGGGAGATGGAGAAAATCAAACCCTATGGAGAGCTTTGTTTATCTCCCTTTTGCCCCACAATCACAAACTTGATTGAGCACAAGGGTGAGATGGTAATGTAACTGATGAAAGCAGGTCAGTGTGAAGCAATAGGGAGCACTGGGGACTGGAGTAAACTGGAGCTCACATGCCTCATCATGGGGGGTGACAAGTGCTGCTCAACCCCAGCCAGATGTTTCCATGTGTGAAGGAGGGCCTGTTGCCAGCACTTCTGACTTTGTGATGGCAAACTGGATTTTTATGAAAAAATCTTCTAATTTTTTAATATTGAGAACTAATTAAACTTTTAAAAAATTCTGAGTAGACAAACAAAACTTATTTTTTTGCTGGTTGTGGTTTAGGAGCTGCTAGTGTATAGAGAGCAATGCAGTTATGGATAAGAGACCTTCATTATCAATCTACATTAGTTTCACGCTTAGATTTTATGGCTTTTACCACCATAGCATCTACCAGCTCTCAAGGGAAGGAAGAGAAGGAGAAAATAATAAAAGCAATAAGATTAGTCCTTGAGGGTTCCTCCTCCCACTGTTATGAATGGCCAAGGCAGTGGACCATTGATCTTCCTGGGATGATTCTTCCAGCAGAGGAGGCAAAAGGACACAGTCCAGAGAACTCAGAGGGCCTCTGCTGACCCTGTCTGATGCTCTTACTGAAAGGGCTGGGTTTTGTTTTTGTTTTTTGCTGATTGTACAAAAACAAGACAACTACTTTTGGTATCCACTGAGAAATTTCCACCACTTGGAATGTTGCATGTCCATAGAACAACCTACCTGAAAATACAGATGTTTTCACAAATAATGCTTGCAGAACAGAGGGATATAAACTCACACCAGAGAATTAGCTTTTCTAAGATTTTTTTTTTTTTTGACAGATCACAAGTAGGCAGAGAGGCGGGCAGGGAGAGGGGGAAGCAGGCTCCCAGGACCCTGAGATCACGACCCGAGCTGAAGGCAGAGGATTAACCCACTGAGCCACCCAGACGCCCCAAGAATTAGCTTTTCTATATGAACAAGTTTAGTTAGCCATTTTTGTGACTGGATTGCTCCTTCCCCTGAAAAAGGCAGGAACTTCCATTTTATTTTTATGTATCTTTGCACATATATCAAAGTGAATGCCATTCTAGTGTATCTAGCTAGAGGAAAAGAAATAGGCACACAGGTTTGAGGCGTTCTCCATATTCTGCCCTGACATATACGGTTTATTTAAATGAGGGCCAAGGTAAGGGAGCCCTTGTACTTTTCTTGAGGACCTACTATGTGCCAGGCATTGGGTTGGGCAGTTTGCATGATCAGAACTTCCTTTTGGGATATTATTTTCATTCTTTTCCCTATTACCTAAATGTCTCCAGCTCCCCCAGTTATGCAGATTCACCCATTTCTTTGATGTCCAAATAAAATAACTCAAGACACTATTACACATGACTGTGTCAACCCCAACATCCTCTCCAGTATCTTAAAGGATACCCAAGCTGGATGTCCTCACATTCTCACATTCCCCTGTTCTCCTGATCTGCACTGATCACCTCTCTTCCAGTCTAAGGTATTGGACTCATTTCTCTTGCTGAAAGCCCTAGCTGTCTGCCCTCTGACGGGGCTCCCAAAGCACCATGCACATCTCCAGGTGGGACAAACTTGTTCTGAAAATAGCTAAAGCAGAGAGATGAACTGAAGAAACACTGTTCAGCTTCCAAAGTGTTCATGTTGGGGTTTAAACCCTGTAAAAGTTTAGGAGATAAAGCGAAGAGTAATGAGAACTCTGGTTTGGCTCCCACAACATTTGGGATTGGCCCCTTCCTTTGTTTATTGGTCTCACTCACTGGCCGTGGAAGGATGACTGATTCCCTTAGGATCTCTTTTTTCTCATCTGTGAAATGAGAGAGCTGGCTTCAGTGGGGATGTTTCATCTTCTATTCTGAGATACTCAGGTGGTTTTTCAGGTGTCTGATTAAAATTTGTCCCTACTTTTTGCTTACTCTTCCCTTCTCCTTGAGAAAAGATGGACTCAGCTACCTTCAGAATGGCTTTGATTGAACTTATAGGAGTGCTAGAGCTCCCACCTACTATACTTACCCTCCTGCCTCCCACCCTAAGAGATCCACTCTCAACACTAGGATTTGTTGTAGACTTTTGTATGCAGGCAGGGAAGACCATAGAGCTAGGCCATGTCTAAGGCAGTATAATATATTGGAGATAATGGACCCCTAGGCTTACTACCTCCTGGATTCACTATCACTGCTCTACAGCACGTTAACCATGTGATCTTGGGCAAGTTATTCCATTTAATTAAGGCTAAGTGTCTGTCTTAGTTGTTGTTATTGCTGTTTTAATATGCAAAATGGGTATAATAATAGCACCTACTCTCCAGAGTTGTGAGAATTAAGTGAAATAATGTACATACAGTTCTTAGCCTGTATAATTCCTCCATAAACATATTCTGGATTTCATTATTATCATTATTGTTACTTTTTCCAGTTCAGCCATTCCATCCCTTTCTAATCTCTTCCTGTTCCTGTCTCTGATGGGTATATCTGGTCTGGACCTCTTCATAAGGGTCTTCCCCTGCAGCCCCCCTCCCCAAAAAAAACATCCCTTCTCTCTCTGATGCCAGGGGCTGTCATGATCCCGGGTGTCTCTCAGCTGACAGAGAAGGACCTCAAATATCGGCTGCAGGTGTCCAGGGCCAAATCCATTATCACCAGTGACTCCCTGGCTCCGCGGGTGGATGCCATTAACGCTGACTGTCCCTTCCTCCAGTCCAAGCTACTGGTGTCAGACAGCAGTTGGCCAGGCTGGATGAACTTCAGGAAACTCCTGTGGTAGGTTGGGGCTCTCTAAAGGACAACATGAAGAGGAGGCCAAGGCTTTTCCCCTTTAAACAATAGCAGATGGAATGCATTACTGACTACAGCAAGAGAGTAAACCAGAAAGGAGCACTCACTGTAGGGCCCAGATGGACCTGAGACCTAATCCTGGTGAACACCTTAAGATCCTTCAAAGTCACTCACTGAGCAGTACTACGATCATCCTTAGTTTTTGTGGGCATCATTTGCTTCAGTATTGGTGATAGTGGTTGCAGAGCTATGAGCTAAAGCAAACAAGAGAACCCATGTGATGCATTTAGGGCATAGTAGGTGATCAGTTAGCAATATAATAATAGCTACCATGCATTGTGTGCTCAGTGTATGCTAGGCATAGTGCTGGGTAAGCGTTTACCGACATTCATTCATGTACCACAGATGTGATGAACACCTGTTTTGTTATAAGTATTGTGTTTGGTGCTCAGAGCCCAATAATGAATCATACATTGTCTTATTTAATCCTTGGAAAAACCCTATAAAATGCATTTTAACCCAGTTTTACAGGTAAAGAACTGATAAGTAAAGTGACTTATATAAGATGCAACAGGCAGTTACATCAAACAGAACCAAAAGCCCTTTGCCTTTGAGCAATGCCCTGGTGGAAGCCTACCTGGGAATTTGAGATTTTGTCCTGATCAGAGGCAGAAGCGAAAAGGGGCCCTGCCAGGGGCCTGCACCATTAAGTCACAAGTCCCACGGACCAACTGCCTCACATTCACCTGGGTGTTGTTCTACTTTATTTAATTTATTCATTTTTTTAATAACATTTGTTTCCTATTAGTATCTTCATTTGAAAAAGAACTATATGCCACATTCTCTTAGATGTGTCACAATTTTTAGTATAAGACCCATAACCATGCATTATAAATAATGTATTATATTTTCCAAAATATTATATTTCCAACATATGACTTTTTAATCATATATTATTATATTTCAGTGTAATGTTTAGGAGCATAAACTGAAACAGAAAATATTTAACATGTGTAGGTAATAAAGTTAAGTGCAAAAGATATATTTCGAAGTTTGCATGGACATGGTAAATACTCTTCGGATTATTCTTGACTACTCTAGAATGTAAACGTTCTACCATGAAATTATGGAAAATTCTCTTTTTAAAATTTTATTTAGCTATTTATCTTTGGGTGCTGTTTTAAATTCAGGTTCCAAGGTCCCCCATCTGACGGACTTAACAGGACATATCTAAGCAAAGGCCCTGGACTCTGTGTTGTAAGAGATCTGCCCAGATGATTTTGATGAGCTGTCAGGTTGGCCTAGATGAGTGATTCTCAGTTTCAGCTGTCTTTAGAATTACCTGAGGAGCTTTAAGAAAAAAGCAAAAAAACCCCACAGGGGTGCCTGGGTGGCTTAGTCGGTTAAGCATCCAACTCTTGATTAAGCTCAGGTCATGATCTCAGGGTTGTGGGACGGAGCCCTGTATTGTGCTCTGTGCTGGGCATGGAGCCTGCCTAAGATTCTCTCTCTCCCTCTTCCCACAACCTCCCCCACCTTGGTCCCCCCTGCTTCAAGTACACACTCTCTCAAAAACAAAAAGCAAAAACAAAACAAAACAAAAAAAAAACAAAACAAAAACCAAAAAAAAAAACCACCCACACAAAAAAATTCCAAAGCCTAGCCCACCATTGAAGATTCTGGTTTTTCTCTAGGGTGGGGCCTTAGTGATGGTATTTGTTTTAAAAACTAACCAGATGTTCCTATGGTGCAGCCAGGGTTGAGACCCAGTTGGAGAGAAGATTCTCCAGATCACAGAACTTTAGGAATTGCCCAGATCTCAAATCTCTGAATTGAGGAAACCCTTCAGCCCTAAACTAATGGGGAACTGAGGTGGGGGTGAGGCTGTGGCCCAGTGTGAAGAAGCATAGGCATGGAAATGAGCACGTTTCACCAGAAGGTCCTCCTGCCCTAGTGGAGGAGCACAGGCCCTTCAGAGAGAGTCACTGCACCATTTTTGAGCCTCCATTTCCTTATTTACAAAGGCTGCTAATGATGGTTGTACTGACCCCAGAAGGTCATTGTAGGCCTCAGAGATGCAAGCTGGAGCATCCAGCACAGTGCCTCATGGTAGTATTTATTAAAAAGGTGGCCAGTATTGTTATAAATATTATTATTATGACTCTTTTTACTACTTGTAATGCTACCGAGGATTTTTGTATTTTACAGCGAGGCATCCACAGAGCACGACTGTGTGAGGACCAAGAGTCAAGACCCTCTGGCCATCTACTTCACAAGTGGCACCACCGGAGCGCCCAAGATGGTTGAGCACTCCCAGGCCAGCTACAGACTGGGTTTTGTGGCCAGTGGAAGCTACCAAGGGACAGTTCATCTGATGGGTCCAAGGAACAGAAAGTAGGGAGTGAGCTGGAGGAATGTGAGTAAGGGACATAGTGGTAAGACTGAGGTCAGAGAGCTAACAAAGTGGCAAATCCAGTAGTATCTGAAGGCTTTGGGCTTTACTTTGAGCGAGGTGAGAAGCCATTGGAGGTTTTTTGTTTTTATTTTTGTTTTTAATTGTGGTAAGAGATACTTCACCTAAAATTTACCATTTTAACCATTTTCAATTGTAAACTTCAGTGTCATTAAGGACATTCACATTGTTTTGCAGTCATCTCCACCATCCACCTCTAGAACTTTTTTCCATTTCGCAAATCTGAATCCATGTGTATTACATAATACACATTACACAATAGTTCTGCATTCCCTCCCACGTCTGCCCTGACATTCATCATTCTGTTTACCGTCTCTGTGAATTTGACTACTCTGGGAACAGCCTATGGGTGGAATTACACAGTATTTTTCCTTTTATGTCTGACTTATATCACTTAGCGTAACGTTCTCAAGTTTCATTCATTTTGTAGCATGTGTCAGAATTTCCTTTCTTATGAAGGCTCAGCAGTAGTCCCATGTATGTGACATGCCAATGCTGTTTATCCAGTCGCTCATGGATGGACAGTTGGGGGGCTTCCCATCTTTTTGGCTGTTGTGACTAGTGCTGCTATTAACTTGGGGATATAAGCATCTATTCAAAACTCTGCCTTTAATTCTTTTGGCTATATATCCAGAAGTGGAATTGCTGGATTGTATGGTGATTCTATGTTTAATTTTCTGAAGTACAGTGGAGTTTTTGAGCAGTGACTTGATCTGATTTTTTTTTTAAGGTTATCTCATGAGTTTGGGTTGAGAATAAACTGTAGGGGGCAAGAGATGAAGCAGAGACCAACTTCAGAGGCCAGTGCATTAAGAGGGAATGGTGGAGGCTTCCCCAGGGCGAGTGAGAGGAGCTAAGATTCTGAATGTATTTTGAACGTAGGCCTGGAAAGATCTGCTGATGGGTTTGACATAAAGAAAGAAAGTGAAGAGTCAGGGATGATGCCAAGATTTATGGCCCAAGCAACCAGAAGCATTAACTGATAGCGAGGAGGCTGGGATAAGCTGTCTGGTCGGAGGAACATAAGGACTCTTGTGTTTGGCACTGTAAGTTTGAGACGCGTGGTGGACATCTCCATACCCTGAGTTAAGAATGGATATATTGGGGAGGCAGTTGGAGATTCATGTGTGGAGTTAGTGGAAAAGATTCGTGGCGGAATTATCAGCAAAGTAGTACTTAATGCCATGAGATTGGACGAGATCAGTGAAAAGTAATGGACACTAAGAAGAGAAGAGGCCTCAGCACTGAATGCCTGAGGCCTTTCCACAACAAAGGGAGAAGCAGGGAAAACTCAGAGGAGGAGACCAAGAAGGAGCAGCCATTGAGTAGGTTGAGGACCAGGAGATCATATGTCCCCAAATCCAAGTGCAGAACATGATCACTTTTCTATGCTCGCAGGTACTGCTTCCCCTTCCTGGGTTTTCGTTCCTTCTCTGCCTCCCCAGTGTAGCTCCTGTGCATCATTACATTTCGCTCAGACCCCACCTCCTCTGGGGAAGCATTTCTCAGATTCCATCTCCATTCTTTCTCTGGGTTAGGTGCCCATTCTCTGTAATTGCATAAAGCTATTGGTTTAACCCTATGAAAGCTTGCTCTCCAGGGGCCTCTTTGATGTTTATACTTACCAACCTACAAGCCCCCCAAAGCAAGACAAATCATTCTTTCCTACACTCTAATGCCAAGTCCAGAAGAAGTATTGGATAAAGAAAGTGCCCTCGTCACATTGTATGGAGATTATGTGTCCCCTTATAGATCACTCCCACTAGATGGTGAACTCTTGAAGGCATGGAATCTGTTTTTTTTAATTCTCTATCCTTCCCTTAGGGCATAAATACCAAGAATATGCTCAATAAATGCTTGTTGAGACAAAGACTGACTTTATGGTTCTTGTATAGATTTGAAAACTGTCATACCCACAAGTGAGTACTCACTGTGGGAGAGGTTCCAAAGAAGGTGACATGGATAATGTAATCCTTTTTAAAGGTAGAAGTATTGCTGAGGGTTCTGACGTTCTTTAATTTTTGGCAGGCGGTGGGTGGACTTGACCAAATCAGACATCTTCTGGAACACGTCTGACACTGGCTGGGTTAAGGCACCTTGGACCCTCTTCTCTGCCTGGCCTAATGGATCTTGTATTTTTGTGCATGAGCTGCCCCGAGTTGATGCCAAGATTATTCTGAATGTAAGAAACAAAAACACGGCTTGTGTGTTGGATGTAAATGAGATGAGTGGAATTTAGGTTTTGAATTTGCAGGAGAAAAGGCATGAATAAGTGACCATAAGGCTTCTTTGGTATGGATAGCAAACAAAATGGCTCCCAGGACCTTCTATAATCTGATTCCTGCCCACCTTTCTACCTTCAATTATTGCCTATCCTCTAACTAGATCCTTAGACATAAGACAGTTTCATATATCTGCATACTCTGTTTTTTCCTGCATTGGGTTCTTCTCCGTCTACCACTTTCTTCCCTATGCTCCTGTTAAAACCCTAGTTATTTTTCAAAACTGTGGTGAAAATCATAATCAGAGTGTGTTCTTAACACGTTGATTATCATTGCCATAGTCAAGCTCACCATCATCATTATTCACTGAAGGCTTGCTCAGCCAGTATATGCCTTGTTCCCTTTACTGCCCCCAGGCCTTACATGGTATATTAGTTATCTATGGTAGTCAATTACCCCAAAACCTAGTGGCTTAAAACAAATATTTATTATCTCAGTTTCTGGTGGTCAGGAATCTGGGAGCAGCCTAATAGCTAGTTCTGAATCAGCGCCTTTCATGAGGTTGTAGTCAAGATGTCAGCTAGGTATATCTGTGTTCCGGGTGGCATTATTCCTAATAGCCCAAAGGTGGAAGCAACCCAAGTCCTGGTGGCTGATAAATGAATAAACAAAATGTGCTACATACATACAATGGAATATTATTCAGCCTTTAAAAAGAAGGAATATGCATGCTATATCATGGATGAATCTTGAAGACATTATGTTAAGTGAACTAAGCCAGCCACTAAAGGACAAATACGATATGGTTCACTTATATGATGTATCTAGAGTAGTTAAAATCCAGTTCCCCTGCTCCATCTCCACGAAGTCCCACTCCAGTACCTCTAAGAAGATCTTCTATCCTTTGTTTTTGCTTAGACTCTCTCCAGGTACCCGATCACCACCCTCTGCTGTGTTCCCACCATCTTCTGGCTGCTGGTACAGGAGGATCTCACCAGGTATAGCCAGGCATCCGTCTGATGCTTTGGGGACCTAAATATGTGAATATACAGCAGTATATGCCCACATGCATACCCACCCTCTCATACCGACTCTGTTTCTGTCACTCTGTCCCTGTCTCATCTCTGTCTCTATCTCTCTCTTTTTCTCTATATATGTACACACACACATACATATACAAATACGTCTGTGATTCTTTCTTTCCATATAGAATATATATCTAGAATATTATATATATCTGTGGTCCTCTATCTCACACACACACACATACACACACATGCTGAAGCGTATGTTTCATCTATATCCTTTGCACATGTCCCACAGAAATCCTCTGCACCACCACCCCCTACCCAAGAATTTGTATCCAAATGGAATTGGATAGATTTAAGATAGTCTGGAATTTTAGCACTTGAGGTGGGCTGTCTCTCCATCATACTCGCATAGGCCATTCTCTCAGCAGTGTGTGTGCTACTTGTGTGAGGTTGGAGAAATTGTTGGGTAATTGTTAGTCACCTGTGGAATGGGATTTGTGTCCAGGGCCTGAGGTCTGGTGGGACCAGCAAGCCCACCACAATAGATGTTCCATCCCTCAGCCCCATACTAACTCCATCCAGCCACTCTCTGAGTGAATGTCATTGGGTATCCCACAGAAGACAAGAAGACACTATGTGCATGTGGCTCCCATCCTGGGTGCGTCCAAAGCAACATCTGATAGCAGGACAAGTCTAGTTGCTGAGGTGTGTGGAAAGAGACCTATGACTCTTCAGTAACTCACTGACTGATCTATGTCTGCCTCTTCTGTTCTCTTTGCTCATCGCATGTATCTGTCCATGAAGAACCTAAGGGGGAGTTCTTACATGATTCCCCTGTTGAATTCTTCTCTGTTTTAAGAATTTATCCCATTTGTTGATCTCTTGTGTATACCTCAAGATCATTATTTTAATTGCAAACAAACTCTGAATGTTTTAAGAACAACTTTGTTGAAAGCTACTAGGTAGTATTAATTAATAGTCAAACCAAGTTTATCCAAAGGGAAAAAATGGTTGAAATATATTTGCAGCCACTAATTTTTTACATTTTGGATAATCTGTTGAATGGAGGGGTGGTTTTATAACATATTTAATATCTGTAGGAATTTTGGGCCCATTTGTTAGAATTGTCAGATTCCTAGGGGGCTACTTTCTGCCTTACAAATTTGCAACTGATTCATTCCTAGCGGGCTACTTTCTACCCTTTACATTTGTAACGATTTATCTTTTCTTTTTAAAAAGATCTTATTTATGTATTTGAGAGAGAGAGAGAACACAAGCCAGAAGGGGAGGGGCAGAGGGAGTGGGAGAAGCACACTCCCTGTGGAGCAGAGAGCCGGGTGTGGGGTTCAATTCCAGGACCCTGAGATCATAACCCAAGCTGAAGGCAGACACTTAACCAACTGAGCCACCCGGGCGCACCATGTAATCGGTTTATCTTTTTTTTTTTTTTTTTTAAAGATTTTATTTATTTATTTGACAGAGAGAGATCACAAGTAGGCAGAGAAGCAGGCAGAGAGAGAGAGCAGGAAGCAGGCTCCCCGCTGAGCAGAGAGCCCGATGCGGGGCTCGATCCTAGGACCCTGGGATCATGACCTGAGCCGAAAGCAGAGGCTTTAACCCACTGAGCCACCCAGGCGCCCCTCGGTTTATCTTTTTTAACTAGGTGGTTGTCCTAACCAATTTATCATCATTTTGTTTTTGTTTTTGTTTTTTTCATTTTGTTTTTAACTAAGTAATTTTGGCCAGTTCGTGTAGATTTCACTATGTTATACCAAAACCTACGATACAAGGTTCTGATTTTATTCCAGAATCAGATAGGATTGATTTTTTAAAAAATTTACCTGCCCATGAGGAATATGCCTGCAAAGCCAGAGGATGGGGCACTTGGAACAGGTGATAAAAGCCTGGACTTTACCCTCCAGTGGCTTTAGATGTCTAGACCTGAGCAGTAGTACTGGGGGGAACAGTGGTGGGTGGAGGGATCCTGACACAGGTGGTCTTGTTTTCCACCTGAGAAAGGTACCAGTTTCAGAGCCTGAGGCACTGTTTGACTGGAGGAGAGGCACTGAATCCTGACGTGAGAGAGAAGTGGAAGAGCCATGTGGGCCTGGAGCTGCATGAAGGCTATGGCTAGTCTGAAACAGTAAGTGCTAGTGGAGCCCGGGTCTCTGCCACAGGTCACCTCTACCCAAGCCCTCAGCCACTTGGTGGAGATGACCAGCTCTCAGATCCTCTGCCTTCCTGGCTGCCACACCTGTCAGGGACTGCCCTATCCCCTGGGAGAAGCTGATAACAAAATCCCATCAGTTTTTCTTCCCTTTTGGTTGATAAAATGATTTCACAAGGACACCATAGCCAAAAAACCTACTCTCATGGCCTCCGGTACCATTTGTCTCCACTAGGACAGCCTCTTTCTGTCTCTGGTCAGACCCGAAGATCTTAGCCAGTATTGCCCACAGCCATCTGGACAGCAGAGAGTTGAGGGGTCAACTGAGTCTTTTGGGTTAGTGACACATTTGGTTCTTTATGTGTCAGTGTCCAGTATAACATTCAATAAATGTTTGTTGACTATGGAAAGAAGAGAAGGGAGGAAGGGAGGAAGAAGGAAGGGAGAGAAAGAGTGAGTAGGAGAGGTAAGGAGAGGCAGAAGGGAGAGTGAGAGAAAAGGTGGGCACCAGGAAGGAAGAAGCTACAGGGATACATCACCTTTCTGGAACTGCTTTCTCTCCAGGTTTTAATCTGTGCCAATCCAAAAGGCATGAAAATCAAGTCTGGATCCATGGGGAAAGCGTCCCCACCTTACAATGTGCAGGTAGGCAGTCTTGCCCAACTGTTGTTGAGGCTTGGTTCAAAGAGGAAAGCAAAATGCATGTCCTGGTTAGCAACAGCAGGCTCAGCTGGTTGGGTGGTCTGGCTGCACAGATATCCAGACACAGCCCTCTGATCTCTCTGCCAGATCATGGATGATGAGGGCAACATCCTACCTCCAGGACAAGAGGGGAATATTGCTGTCCGAGTCAGGCCCACCCGGCCCTTCTGTTTCTTCAGTTGCTATTTGGTAAGTGGCAGGGAATGGCCATTTTCACAGTGATTTCTGTGTGCTGAGCATTGTGTTCTGAGATTTATAAACACTTGTTTAACCCTTGCAATAACTGCATGAGGTAGGTTGGCACTATTATTGATAAGGAAATGAGAAAGATTGACTTATCCAATGTCAATCAACTAGTATGTCCAGGACATGGATTTAAGCACAGATATGTCTGAGAGTGCAAATTTATAACACAGGGGACACCCCATCATTTTAATGATGACAATTTTTTAAAAAAAGATTTTATTTCTTTATTTGAGAGAGGGAGAGCGAGCACAAGAAAGCACAAGCAGTGGGGAGTGGCAGGCAGAGGGAGAAGCAGACTCCCCACTGAGCAAGAAGCATGATGTGGGGCTGGATCTCAGGATCCCGAGATCATGACTTGAGCTGAAGGCCGTCACTTAACCACCTGAGCCACCCAGGTGCCCCTAACAATGAGAAAACTGAAGCTCAGAGAAGAGAAGGGACTTCACAAAAGTCAAAATGCAATTTGTATCAGAGCCTAGTTTCAGGATTCTTTTTATCTTGAGTCTTGTGTGGAGAGGGGTCAGCTGGCAGAGCTTAATGTCCAAGGATTCTAGTCTGATTTTCTGTGATAATCCAGGAATGACCTCTCCCTCATGCCTGCTTCAGTGAGTGTTTATTATAGGCTTTGTTTTTGCCACACTCTCTCTGTAAATCTCTACTGACATGGTTTCAGCTTTGGTTGCACATTAGAGACACCTTGGAAGCTTCAAAGCATGACTGATACTCGGGCCCCCCTGAGATCAAAGATGAGATCAGACTTTCCTATGATGTGGATCATGTGGTGATTTGACAGTGGAGCCAAAGTCAAGAACCATGGCTTTATTAGGAATTCCACCTGGCGTGTATGTGACGCCATCACTCAGCTGCAACACTGGAAGAAACAGTGAAAACCAGTCCATTTGTTTTTAGAATGAATTCTAGTGGCTTTTCTATAACTACAAGAGAGATAGTCTTTCATGGTATTTCATTTAAAGTCACAGAAACTTACCAGCCAGAATAAACAAAAGACAAAACAAAACAAAAAACCTGGGTGCCTGGGTGGCTCAGTTGGTTAAGCGACTGCCTTCAGCTCGGGTCATGATCCCAGAGTCCTGGGATCGAGTCCCGCATCAGGCTCCCTGCTCCATGGGGAGTCTGCTTCTCCCTCTGACCTTCTCCCCTCTCATGCTCTCTCTCACTGTCTCTCTCTGAAATAAATAAATAAAATCTTTAAAAGACAAAACAAAAAACCCAAACAGTAATGCAATAATACACTAAGCAGAGGTAATTTTAAAATTTTAATGTATTTCCTTATAATCATTTTTGTAAGCAATAGCAAATCCTTGACTTTTCTGAATAATTTATTCATTCATTATTTATTGAGTGACTACTTCATGCCACTAAGTACAGCAATAGGCAGGAAAGACAAGACCCTGGTCCTCACAGAGTTCACATACAGGACTTTTCTGGGTCTGTGATCATTCCATTGAGAGAGTCAAGTAATTTGTAGAATTATTTGCTGGACAAGAACCTTTACATTTTTTAACTTTTTCTTTCCAGCTATTGGTTTTTTTCTTGGGTCATTTTTAACTAAGGAAAAAAAAATTAAATCTAGGTATTATGCTAAACAAAGTAAGTCAGAGAAAAACAAATACCATATAATTTCATTCCTTTGTGGAATTTAAGAAATAAAACAGATGAACATAGAGAAAGAAAGAGGCAAACCCTAAAACACACTCTTAACTAGAGAGAACAAACTGAAGGTTGATGGAGGGGAGGTGGATGGGGGATGGGCTAAATGGGCGATTGAGGAGGGCACTGTGATAAGCACTGGGTGTTGTGTATGTGATGAATCACTAAATTCTATTCCTGAAACTGATAGTACACTATAGGTCAACTAACTGGAATTTATTTATTTACTTATTTTTTAAAGATTTTATTTATTTATTTGACAGAGAGAGATCACAAGTAGGCAGAGAGGCAGGAGAGAGAGAGGAGGAAGCAGGCTCCCTGCTGAGCAGAGAGCCCGATGCGGGGCTCGATCCCAGGACTCTGAGATCACGACCTGAGCCGAAGGCAGCGGCTCAACCCACTGAGCCACCCAGGCACCCAACTAACTGGAATTTAAATAAAAGCTAAAACTAGTAAAAACAAAAAGATTAAAAACACTCCGTGAGAATAAAGTGATCTGTCATGTCAACTTGGTCAGAAATAGAAGTTTGATATAGTCTTACATGGCTAAGTTTTGGCAGTTTCTTCTATTTAGTTGGTCGTTTGTCTTATCCCTGTACTGATACCATAGAGCCTCATCCAGGAAATATTCTCATAAGTCTTAATATTTACTAGAGCAAGCCTCTCCTTCTTCCTCAACTTCTTTAGAAATGTTTTACCTGCTCTCGGCTCTCTACTCTCTCATGTACATTGTATAATCACATTGTCAACTTCCATGAAAAATGTTTAATGAGTGTCACTAAGTCTATAAGATGAATTTGGGGAGAATTAACATATTTATGATGTTAAGGCTTTCTATCCTTCCATGTATTTATATTTTCTTTACTGTTTTGTAGAGTTTTAAGTTTCTATAATACTTCTTTCAGATTTTGTGTGAGATTTACTTTTAGTATTGACAGCTTATCTCTTTTCTCAGAATGCAGTTTTTTAAATTGAGGCATAATTTACATCAATAAGTGTACCTATGTTACAAGCGTATAGGTCAGTGACTTTTGACACCTGTATACACTTGTGTGACCACCACCGCAATCAATATATAGAACATTTGGGGCGCCTGGGTGGCTCAGTGGGTTAAGCCTCTGCCTTCGGTTCAGGTCATGATCCCAGGGTCCTGGGATCAAGCCCCACATCGGGCTCTCTGCTCAGCGGGGATCCTGCTTCCCCCTCTCTCTGCCTGCCTCTCTGCCTACTTGTGATCTCTGTCAAATAAATAAATAAAATCTTTAAAAAAAAAAAAAGATATAGAACATTCTTGTCACCCCAGTGAGTTCCCTTGGGCTCCCTAAAAGTCAATCCCCTAGCCATCAGCTATTGCTAAATTATTTGTTGTTGCTAATAGAATACTTTTGCCTTTTTAAAAAAGAACTTTATGTAAATGGGATCGTAAGTATTCATTCATTCATGTGTCTCGTTACTGACAGAGAGAAAGCACACAAGCAGGGATAGAGGCAGAGGCAGAGTGAGAGGGAGAAGCAAGCTCCCCGCTGAGCAGAAAGCCTGACATGGGGCTTGATCCCAGGATCCTGAGATCATGCCTAAGCCAAAGGCAGATGCTTATCTGACTGAACCACCCAGGCACCCCCTGGTTCTTTCTTTTAAATTGACTTTTTATTTTATTTTTTAACTTAAATTTTACTTAGTTAACATACAGTGCAGTATTGGTTTCCAGAGTAGAATTCAGTGATTCACCACTTACATACAACACCCATTTACTTATCACAACAAAAGCCCTCCTTAGTGCCCATCACCCATCTAACCTATCCCCCTCCACCTCTATCAACCCTCAGTTTATTCCCTATTGTTAAGAGTCATTTAATGGCTCATTTCCCTCTTCTTTTATTCTTTTCCTCCTTCCCTTATGTTCACCTGTTACCTGTCTTAAATTCCACATATGAGTGAGATCATATGGTATGTCTTTTTCTTACTGACTTATTTCACTTAGCATAATACATTCTAGCTCCCTCCATATCATTGCAAATGGCAAGATTTCATTTTTTTGATGGCTGATAATATTCCATTATAAATACATACCATATATGCATGTATACCTAAATACATGGATATGGCATACACACACACACACACACACACACACACACACACACACTCACTCTCTACATCTTGTTTATCCATTCATCAGTCAGTGGACACTTGGGCTCTTTCCATAGTTTGGCTATTGTTGATAATTCTGCTATAAACATCAGGATGCATGTAACCCTTGAATCTGTATTTTTGTATCCTTTGGGTAAATACCTAGTAGCTCAACTATTGGATCATAGAGTAGTTCTATTTTTAACTTTTTGAGGCACCTCCATACTGTTCTCCAGAGTGGCCTCACCAACTTTCATTCTCACCAGTGGTGTAAGAGTTTCACTTTCTCCACATCCTGACCAACACCTGGTGTGTCCTGTGTTATTAATTTTAGCCATTCTGACAGGTATATGTTATCTCATTGTGGTTTTGATTTGCATGTCCCTGATAATAGTGATGTTGAGCATCTTTTCATGTTTCTGTTAGCCATCTGGATGTCTTCTTTGGAAAAGTGTCTATTCATGTCTTCTGCCCATTTCTTAACTGGATTATTTGTTTTTTTGCATGTTGAGTTTGGTAAGTTCTTTATAGATTTTGGATACTAACCCTTTATCACATATGTCATTTGCCAATATCTTCTCCCATCCTGTAGGCTGCCTTTTAGTTTTGTTGATAGTTTCCTTCACTGTGCAGAAGCTTTTTATCCTGATGAAGTCCCAGTCGTTCATTTTTGCTTTTGTTTCCCTTCCTGGCATTGTGTCTAGTAAGAAATTGTTACAGTTGAGTCCAAGAGGTTTCTGCCTGTGTTTGCCTCTATGATTTTGATGGTTTCCTGTCTGGCATTGAGGTCTTTCATCCATCTTGAATTGACTTTTGTGTATGGTGTAAGGAAATGGTCCGGTTTCATTCTTCCGCTTACTGCTGTCCAGTTTTCCCAACGCCATTTGTTGAAGAGACTGTCTTTTTTCCATTAGAAATTCTTTCCTGCTTTATTGAAGATTAGTTGACCATATAGTTTTCAGTCCATTCCTGGGTTCCCTGTTACATTTGTGTCTGTTTTTGTACCACTACTGTACTGTCTTGATGACTAGAGCTTTCTAATATAGCTTGAAATCTGAAATTGTGACATCTCATTTTGTTTTTCTTTTTCAGGATTGCTTTGGCTATTTAAGGTGTTTTGTGGTTCCATACAAATTTTAGAA